AAGAAGAAGAAGAAGAAGAAGAAGAAGAAGAAGAAGAAGAAGAAGAAGAAGAATTTGTAGAACAAGAAGGAACCTCATCAACACTATATTATTATTATTGTTGTTGTTGTTCTTGTTTTAAAATTCAAGGGAGTTAACTGGGTGTAGGTTCAGGTCAACGCCAAGGGCATCCCAGAGTTTTCGTTCATTTACATTAAGTGTGCGAATCTCATGACGTGTTATTTGCATTTTTTTAAAATGATAACCTAGTTTGTTGTTCTGTAGCTTTTACAAACTTTTAAAGAGTTAAAGTTGTTGTTCTGTACCTCTTACAGACCATTAAAAAGGTAGTGTATGTCTTTCCAGGTGGGTGGGTGGTTGGCAGGTGGTCTGGTGTGGTTTGCTCCTTCTTTCCTATCAATGATCAAACATCTGTCGTCCTGATCTTTCCTCCTTTTTTGTACTTGCATTTGTTACTCTTTTGTAACACCTCTAATCTTCGGTACTTATATGACCGTATTGTGTTGCAAGTGCAGTAAAACGCCAAAATTAAAGTCCTTACCTCTCCTCTTTCTTGTTACTCTCTTGTAACACCTCTAATCTTCGACACTTATATGATATGACCTTATTGTGTTGCAAGTGCCGTAAAACTCTTACTAAAACTAAAACTGATCTCTCCTTCTTCTCTGTTGTGTTTGTTACTCTCTTGTAACACCTCTCATCTTCGGCACTTATATGACCGTGTTGTATTGCAAGTGCAGTAAAAGGCTAAAATTAAAGTCCTTATCTCTCCTCTTTCTTTTTGTGTTTGTTACTCTCTTGTAACACCTCTAATCTTCTGGCGCTCATATGACCTTATTGTGTTACAAGTGCCGTAAAACTCTTACTACTACATGCACTAATCTTCGGCACTTATATGACCTTGTTGTGTTGCAAGTGCCGTAAAACCCTTACTAAAACAAAACTTTTCAGGTGGCTCAGTTGGCCAAGTTCAAGGAGGGCGGCGGTCTGGGCATCAGCCTGGAGGGTACGGTGGACGTGGAGGATGGCGTGGAGGTGCGGCCACACCACTACATCAGGTCTATACTGCCCGACGGCCCGGTGGGGCTCAACGGCACGCTCAAGAGTAGTGATGAGTTACTGGAGGTGAGTGAGATATGTGTATGTATATATATA